CAAATGATTCAAATTAACTACAACATAATATTTAAGGTAAAACATATTAAATAATAAATATAATTATATAACTATAATTAAAAAATAAATTTGGGGCTAAAAAAATCATAACCAAATGATATTGTTTGGTTTAATTTTTTTATTAAAAAAATAATTCTACATGGCTAAGAAACATAGAAGAGCGTCCCAAAAGTCTAAAGAGTAAAAATATGAGAACAAAACAATCTCAATGGCTAAGAAACATAGAAGAGCATCTTACTAAATTCTATAAATAATAGAGGTAATTTGACATTCAAAATCATAGTCTTTTGGTGAGCATTGAGTGAACTATTCTTTCACTTCAATCAAGCTCAAACTTGAGGCTTTAATCGAGCTTCTAAATTTTTTTTAGTTCAAGCCTTTTCGAGTTCAAGTTTCAATATTATATTTCGAGTTCGAGTTGAACTTGATAATTTTTAGCTCGTGAGTTTGAGTCGAGTTGAGCTTACTTTTAAAGTTTTCAAGTTCGAGTCGAGCTCAGCAATACTCGAGTTTGACTTGGCTCGTTTAACAAGCGTCGTTGTTTGGTTTAATTTTTTTTTAAAAAAAACAAAATTGGCGGTTTTTTCCGATTCACTAATAGCGGTTCAAACCGGTGTAGATTGAATCGGACTAAGCAGCGGTTCATCCTATAATGAGATTAAGGATGTGTTTGAATAAAAATACTCCTCTCTATATAATTTTTAGGAATAATTATAATAATACACTCTCTATATAATTTTTTTCAATAAAATCATTATTTTTATTAAATAAAAATAACGTTTTTTATTATTTCGGGTCGGATCGGATCGGATCGGATTCTGGTTTATCTAAAAAATTCGGATTGAGTGAAGATATATATTTTTTTGGTCGGGTCAAGTCAGGTGAAAGATATAAAATTTTAGGGTTGTGTCGAGTTATATACGAGAATGGATAGAAAATCAAAATTGCATACCGAGGTGAATTTTGATTTTGTTTAATGCTATTGGTATATATACAATTGAATTATTATTTGATATATTATTGCAAAAAAAAATAGAAAGTGTAGATCAGATATGCTTGGGTGATTCAAGCATATTTTTAAATATATTAAAAATATTCTTTTAAGGAATAAATAATAAAACATTCGATATTATCTAAAAATTTTATATAAAATCGAAACTTTAACTGATTAATTAAAATAACTAATTTATTAAAAACTTGACAAAACCGAATGTTTCGATAAAATTAATTTTAACCGATTTTTGCTTCACTCTAAAATGAAGGTCATGATAAGCCCATTGGGGCTCTGGGTCTACATTACAAACTACCGCTAATGCTCTTTCGCAGGCCTTTAGTGTCAAGGCTGAAACCTATAGTTACTTATATTATTATTATAAACCAAGTCAAAATTTAAAATTGTAAAATTTGTAGTCAAATTAAATTCAGAGTTCATTCATGGATAAATAGGATATCCCTGTCTGAATCACCCTCGTTTACAAGACTGCTCTAGTCTTGTGAAAGGCTGAATGAATATGTGACCGTAACAGTCTCATGAATTAAGTAATTAATCCATTACCTTATTCCATATTATATTAGGGTCAAGTATATAAATAGTCCCCAAACTTTTAGGGTACTTGCATTTTGGTCACCAAACTTTTAAAACTCGTAATACAGTCATCAAACTTTTAATTTGTTTTCATTTTAGTATCTGCCGTTAGTTTTTGTTGATGTGACATTTAACTCCGTTAACTTTATGACGTTGCAGCAGCAGCTTTTCCTTCTTCTTCTTCTTCTTCTTCTTCTTCTTCTTCTTCTTCTTCTTCTTCTTCTTCTTCTTCTTCTTATTCTTCTTCTTCTTCTTCTTCTCCTCCTCCTCCTCCTCACACACTCTGTCCGAAAATACTAGTTTTGCCTTCAAGTTGAGACCTCAGCACTACAAACAGGGCAGACCTGCGGCAATACAGCGAAGTACAAAAGGTGACGATATGAAGGAGTCGCATAAACCGGAATTCCAACACATATAATATTAACAAAATCGTAACACGGGAACAAACTACAAGCTATTAAACGGAAATATAAATAACCATACCTTGTTTATTTATGCACTTGGGATGATATGAATGCTTGCAAGAAAGTGACGTTAAGGAGTCACCATCCTCGTAGTCTACACGGGAGATGACACACCTGAAAACATGGTTACAAGTTCAATCATCTAGAGAAAAACATTCAGGCATTAAAAAAAAATAAAACTAAAGCATTCAAACTTACGAATCGTTGCTTCCAGTTTGACTGTTTCCTGTCTTGTATGTCACCGAAGGCAAGGATGCAATTGAATCAGCTGAAAGCCCCCTGCTCTCTGTTCCAACTACTTCACCGAGTGCGATAAGTTCCTGAATGATAGGATTGAGCTTTGTATGAGTGCTTGAGCAAAATTCTAAAGCACTCAAACCTAAATGGAAGCTTACCTCATATGAGAGCTCATCAGGATCAACTCCTCCTATGTATCCTGCAAATGCATGTCATCAAAAGGCTAACAACTTGAAAAAAATAGAAATAATAACACACAACACTGCTTTAACGGAAAAATATAAGAGGGAAGTAAAATCATGCTCTCTCCTGCAAGCAAATGTCAAGTTAATTTGAGCATGCATTAGCTATTTCATGAAAATTCAGTCAATTCACGCTAAGATCAGTGTAAAGAATAAAGACTAGCTTCTGTTCTCCCATGGACCACAGTGAAAGAATGACAACGGGCATCAAATTAATCACCCAAGTCCAGCGATTCTAAATCTCCCCCCTCTACCAGCCCTTCCAGTTCCTCTAAAAAGAGCACCGGCAGCTCCCCCACCCCCGTCCCCGCCAAAAACAATGGTGACGAATCCTCTGTTCCAACTTCCAAGGATTTTCTTGGCAAGAAGAAGAGGGAAGAAAGAAGGTAGAAGAAGAAGAAAAAGCTGCTGCTGCCACGTCAGAAAGTTAAAGGGGTTAAGTGACACGTCAACAAAAATTAACCGCAGATAACGACAAGGATCAAAATAAAAACAAATTAAAAGTTTGATGATTGTATTGCAAGTTTCAAAAGTTGTGTTACTAAAATGTAAATACTCTAAAAGCTTGGGGACTATTTATATACTTTACCTATTACTTTATTATATATATTAAATCATGGCTTGATCAATTTAAAAAATATAAATCAATTAAATAATTTCAATTTTCAGATTGAAAAATGTCAAATTAACTAATAGCATATATTATTCAATGTCAAAATTTAGGAATATAAATGAATTAATATAAAAATAAGTGTTTAAATTATTTAACGAAAAAACGTTTTATTGTTTAAAAATTTTTAAAAAAAATAAGTGTGTAACATTTTTTGAGTTATACTTTTAAGTGTATATCATTTATTTTTTTAATTTTTAATAATAAAAATATTACTTTTAATTAAAAAAGAAAAATTGATTTATAAAAAATCCAATTTTTTCACTGAAATTATTAAAAAAAAACTAAAATCTCTCATTTTGATCCTATTACCAACCATCGTCGGTCATCTCCGACCACCACCATCATCGTCGAACGGTAACCCACTCGTTGCTACCCACCCATCGATCAAATCATCATCCTTACCGTCACCCAAAATCCATAAATCTAAAATCCCAAAATCTAAATTTTTAATTCGCAATTTCAATTTTAATTTCCCAACCCAAAAGGTCGTCGGGCATCATCGTCGAACAATTGTATTTTGATCGAAATTTCAAGGTAGTTCGAATGGTGGCGGCAATGTGGCTTATGGACATCAAAATCGACCAAAATCAACGAACAACATCAATGGTATCTGACGAACTTTTGAACGCCTCTCCACGACAAATAGTGGCATATTACGACAAAAGGTCAATGGGATTTGATCGGGATCGACACGTGCTGATGACGGTAGCAGTCCCCTTGTCGTGCATGCCTTTGGATATTGTTTTGGTCAAATTCTGTTACTATTTCCTGTATTATACTCAAATTGTGGAATTAATCCTTATCATTGAATTTGGTTCGTTTTAATCCATGCAGTTTATAGATTTTGATATTTTAGTTCTTACCTAAACATTGACTGTTACTAAAAATGGTCAAATCGAAGAATATGAACTAACTAAAGAATAACATAGTTTGACCTGATAGGTCTAATGGTTATTTGTGGAATTGGAATTTTAAATTTTAAAGAACATGGAAATTAAAAATGATTAATTTAGAATATACGAATTAAATTCCTATTATAAGTATATTTCAAAGAGCTTCCATTAAAGAGCCTCAACTGAGAAACAAGCCTCCATCGAAAAGCCTCTGCAATTCATTTAGCAAGCCCTGTTAAAGAAGAGATAATCTACTATTACGCAGCAAACAGTCCGAGCTTGGCGATGATGACAAATTATATGGCTTCCACGGAATCGGCAAGGGCCAAGGTAAGGTCACGTAGCACACCTAGACAAAGGCCAATAAACCCAGAGAGGGGTCAAGGTGGTTCGTTATCTAAGAGAGTTGCTTACCAAGCTAATGAAGCTCATGCTGGTTTAGGCCATAAATTGAGAAGGCCTAGTTTCAAATATGCACCACAAGGCCACTTTGGGTTGGAAAAAGAATCAATATGTTCTTCATGTAATAAAGGAAGTTTTGGGTGTGAAATTTCTCCATATTCAATCACTGATATAAAGTGGTTGACATGAGAAATTGAGTCATTTCGATGTTACTTTACATGAAGGATATGATCCTCAAGACATCAGCAGCTTGTAATTTCAAATTCGAGACAACCATTTGACTAATATATCATTCCAATAGTCGATCAAAGAATTTAGATTACTTCTTCGTATGATGCGAATAAATGACACTATTATATAAAAATATCAAAATTTATGTATCATATACTATTAACCTATAAAAAATTATATAAACATAACACTTTATAAACGAGCATTGGCATAAAAGGAATACACAAACATGAAACAAATACACCGGATCATGCTACAACATATTCCCATGAGTTATTCAATAAACAAGCAGTTTGAACAAAAAGTATAGCATGGCTTGTTTATTTTTGTTACAGACTATAAAGTTCACAAAGTGCATCGAAGTTTAATATTATCCTACAAAGTAAACCAAAAGGGAAAATAGTACGAATTATCATGGTGTTTTCTTAACAGTGATGCCATTTTCAAGAATATGGGTTTTACCTCAATGTCCCAGTTTGATTTGACATTCACTTTCTTCAATCAGTGTCCATAGGTTTCTCTTATCTTGATGATCGGTATTACAATTCAAACTCATCTTCAAGCTTCAACTGCTCTGCAGCAGCCTCTTCCTCTTCATCATCGATTGCGAAATATGGGTTATGCGCCTCTGGCTTGAATTTATACCCAGTAAACACGTAAAAGGCGAGTGTAGCCAACTCCCCGGCCAACACACTAGTCCAAAAATACTTATACGAAGTAATAGTCTCCAAAGCATAAACTACAACACGAGTAAAGTAAATATAGCAGATGACCACAACGTAATACTGCCTGAACAGGGTCAACTTCATCAAATTCACCGCAGCTTTCCCATCCGTCCGAGCTGCCTCGCGCAAGTTCTTAATCGACCAAACAATGGGGAACAACACGGCACAACAACAAATGACATCAACAAGCAACAACACTTGCTTCCATGTGACCCTATTTTCACCGAAAGGCGAGGTCTCATCGACGACAACTTGGGCAATGTTAGCAACAACCTGAAGTGGAATCACAATCATCAAAACCTTCTTTTCCTTGTCTTGCAAGAAGGGTTTCACAAACGACCAACCAGTACCGATCAATACGATCAGAGTAAAAAGCATGATCCCTTTCAAGAAACTGAAAATATAAAACAAAACATCCCAACCATGAGCACTTCCGGTTCGTTTGATATAAGATTTATCCTCTGCTTCGAATATCAGATTAAAAGCTTTTAAAACAACGACTGCCAGCATAAAGAAATGGATTCTAAAAACAGTGAGTCGTTTTTTGTAAAGCACATAGATCCAAATCCCTGCGAGAGAGAAATAAACAAGGGACAAAAGGAAGTAAACCCTAGGGAGAATTGTCTTGCCGGCGGAGAGATAATCCCTGTGGCCATCCCTCCCCTCGAGATTGTACATCGCCGATCGGACGGTCATCGATACTTTGGCATCACTGAGACAGTTTGCGAAGACCAGCGTGTACTGTTCAGCGTCGCTCACAGGGACAGAGACGTCGAAGCTGGATTTCCCTTTGGCGGCCTTGAAATCGGAGACGCGCTTGACAAGATCGGACTCGAGAGCGCAAGTGACTTCGCTGTCCGCCAGTTGTTGAAGCACGTGCATCCAGGCGTCCAGCGTGGAGAGGAAGAACCCGACTTTGGCCAAGTCGATGTCCGGATTCTTGTTCGAGAGATCAATCCGAGAGACGTTGAGCTCGAGACGACCAGTGTGGGTGAACCCAAACTGGTCCAAGGGGATTATGGGGTGGGCATCGGATCGGATCTCCGTGATACGGATCTCGGAAGAAACGTGCGAAACAAAAAGAGAAATCAAAAGGAAAAGCAAAACGGAGCTGCAGATCCTCGCCATAGGGGAAACTGAAAGGAAGAAAATAAACACTATCGGCGAAGATAATCTCTCCGGTTTGATTTATTTTGCTTGCTTTGTTCGCATCGGCCGGTTGCGTCTTATATTGGTGATTGTTTGGTTGGAAACTTTTAGGAATTTTACAAGTTGACCCTAAAAAAAGTACAATAAGTATTCATTTGTATTTAGAATTATTCAAAGCCGGAATTTGGAATGACTATACTATTCTACACCTACATTAAAATATTAAAAAAAATTAAAATCAGTTTAATATCGTTTAAGTAAAGTTCCAGTTTTGAGTTTTTGTGTATGTAGAAAATCTCTGCTTGGGAGACTCGCTCACCAAAATTAAGTATGTGAGTCGAGTTGGTTCGGATTAATTAAGCCGAAACCTTAAAATCGGAAGATAACTAAAAAAATATTGAAAAAGTATATTATTTTCTCATAAATTATAATTATTGAAAGTAATTAATTTTATTAAATAAGTAAAATTATAATATAATTTTGAAATCGTGGTGTTTGCAAAAGGAGAAGGAACGGGGAGAAGTTGAAAAATCCCAAATAGATAAATGATCAACTAAGCTACCTCTATTGATTGGTACGGAATAAACTTTGTGTTATATTTCTATTTATATTGAAAATAAGTGTCTGAATTATGTTTTGAAAAAAATTTAGTATTTAAAATGTTTTTTTTTAAATATGTGTCTAATGTTTTTTTTTATAGGTGATCGTTTAAACCTTCTAGATGTATCAGACAAGGGGATCCTATCTCCCCATATTTATTTGTCTCGTGTATGGAACGGCTCGCACAGACAATAAGTAGAGAAACGTCGAAGGGTGCATGCAAACCTTTTAAAACATCAAAAGATAGTCCTGGTATCTCACACCTCTTCGTCGCAGATGACATGAACGTTTTTACTGAAGCGTCAATGGAGCAAATAGAAGTCATGCGCAACGTATTGTTTACGAAGAATATCCTGGTTCACTGAAGCAGCAAATAAGCGATGCACTCGGGTTCAAAAAAGTGAGACTTAGGAAAATATCTGGGAGTACCGGTGATTCATGGAAAAGCATCTACGTCCTTGTACAGGTACCTAATCCAGAAAGTAAACATGAAACTAGCTGGACGGAAGGCAAAACAATTATTGCTTGCAGGTAAGATAACATTAGCTAAAGCTGTCTGGCCACAATTCCGTGTTACACCATGCATGCAGACAACAATGCTGCCAAAGGGTGTTTGTGATGAGATCGAAAAAGCATCAGAAGCTTTATATGGGGGCAAGCTAAGGAGAAAAGGGGAATGCATCTTGTCAATTGAGAAGACATGAGCAAACCGATTCCGAAAGGAGGTATTGGGATGAAGAAACTGAAACTTCAGAACGAAGCTTTTTTAATGAAAGTTGCCTTCAACCTCATAACGAGAAGGGACCATCTCTGGGTGCAAATGATAAGATCGAAATACAAATGGCAAGGAACAATCCCAGAGTCATTAAGCCTTCGAAGTAGCTCAAACCTGTGAAGAGCACTCAACAAGGTATGGAATGATGTTATTGATCTTCAATTTTTTTTAAAAAAAAAATCATATTAAGCTTTAACTTACGAGACAAATAAGTTTATCACATAATTAATTTTATTTTTGGACTTAAAAGCAGCTAAACTTATTGCGACCAAAATCCGGAAAACGCTACGCTACGAAATAACTATCCATCCGGACTTAAAAACAACGCTACTGCGAATCACCTGACACTACGACCCCCTACCCCTTCGTCGCTCTATTCGGGGCTCTCCCTGCCCCACCACCACCCTTTCTAATTCGGGGCTCTAAATCTCTCTCTCCCAATCTCCCGATTCAGATCGATCCCCCAAAACCCTTCGTTTTCTCCCCAAAAACCATTTCTCTTTTATTTATCGTTCCTCTCTCACTCCCACTGCTTCACTGCTCAATCTCACAACGCTGCTTATTGTTTCCATTTTTCCTTCGGTAATATAATAGGTTTCTGGAAGTGCTTATCTTAGCTAAGACTTCTCCCGCGATTCGTTGAAGCATCGAACACCTTGGTAATATACCTATTTCTCTTTGCTTCACTATATATATATATATATATATATATTCATTGTTTATTTGTAGTGTTAAATAAATTCATAGGAAGGAAAAAGGAGAAACATAGGTTGAAATTCAGCTGAAAGATGAATGGGAAGTTTGGCTCATCGCTTCTTATTTACCACATTTAATCTACTTTTACAATGCTGATTCAAATTTCGCATGGATTCTGTTTAGCTTATTGATTTATTACTTATTGACGTTTTCTTGTTTGCTTAATTTGCTTCTTTTTTTTCTCTCTGTTTGAGATCAAGGACGAACTGTGGAGTGAAAGAACAATAGAAAACGAAGATGTTTGGTTCAACTAGCTGTAAGTTTATTTTTATCTTACGTTTTATTAAATCCGGTAGAAAATGTACTAGAAATCTTATTTTTATTTGATTCTTTCAGCTGATCTTTTGATGATTTTATATTTTAGCTTCCGTTCTTTATTAATTCTAGGAGCTTGTGGCTTGTTACTTTGTATTGTGCTTTGGAAGTCGAGTTTAGGTTTCTATGTTGTATGCCGTGATAATCAGTGATTATTGTTAACTGTTTACGAGTATCTCTCTTATGGTAATTTTTTGTTGTTGATCTATTTCCTGTTTCTATGTTGTATTTTATTGGAGAAAAATGTTTATCCTATCGCACAATCTTGCCTGTTAACTATTTAGTAGGTTGTTTAGCTTCTTGATCAATCGTTAGTTATATGTTTTAATTACTAGCCAAATCCTTGTGCTTGTTATTGATCGACTTTCATGCTTTGTTTATGATATATATGCTTGTAGTTTATTCATTGATGATTAAGTTCTACTGTTATCTCTAATCTATATGTTAACTTTTTTGAGAATAAATTTGTTATTACTTGTGACCTTTTTGGAAATTTTAACTAAGTTGGCAATGCTTTAAACAGCTTTTGGGCAATCATCAAATAGCCCATTTGCGTCCCAATCTGTTTTTGGCCAGACCAACAACACAAATAGCAATCCATTTGCTCCTAATCCTTCCTTTGGTAGTGTTACCCCTTTTGGAACCCAAACAGCCGGTTCAATATTCGGGGGTACTTCTACTGGAGTGTTTGGTGCTGCCCAATCTTCGTCTCCCTTTTCCTCAACAACTGCATTCGGTGCCTCATCATCTTCAGCTTTTGGAAGTTCCATGCCAGCTTTTGGATCTTCTTCTACTCCAGCATTTGGCAGTTCATCATCATCTTTTGGTGGTAAGCGTTTCTGTGTTCTTTTCTTTTCTTTTCTTTTCTGGTATTATCAGTGTATAAAAAGGCGCAACTGTGACGCGCCTAGACGCTAAGGCGAGGCGAGGAGGCGAGGGTGAAGCGTCTAATTAGGTCTGGGCGAGGCCATTTCAATGAAGTGCAGAAAGGCGCCGCCTCTTCAATGTTTTTGTTCTTTTTTTTTTTGTGCTTAAACTGTGTGCATATGCTATTATGAGGGAGATATAGCATACATGCATACACACATCAATCCATTGTTTTCCATCTGTGTGTGAATTCCAAACATTGAGGTCCTAATGCTCTCTTTTCTGCTCATTTTTTATCTACAATTGATGGTATATACTTGTCTGCTTTGCTGTTTGTAGATGGGTAAGCAAAATAATCAGGAAAAAACATAATTCCTGTCACAGGTGTCATTGGCATCCTAATAATGCTCATGTTTCCCACTTCACTGCATTTTGTGTATATATATATTTTCCCAATTCTTGGTGTAGTTGTATGGTGACATTTTTATTCAACTTTATTCTTTGATGTTGAAAGTTATCTTATGATAGGATTCATCCATCTTCATGTATCAGGGGGTCTGATTTGACTCCCATGGTATTACAATGAGAAGAAAGAATTAAGGGAGAAGATTTTACAAAAGCTAAAGATGTTTGGGTAGAAAGAAGATGAAATTAGAAGTCTATTTTAATTTGTATTATATGATCAATTTTTATCTTCTTAGGAGATAAATATTTTGTAGATAAGGTTTTAGGAAAAAAGAAACCTAGTTGGGCTCTAGCTTGTAACACACATACTATTTTATCAGGTTGTTTTTTTTTTTTTTGAATAAGAAAATTAAGAGAAAGCCTTTCACTTTTCTCGAAATCTCACAGTTTGACATGAGCACATTAGCTTAATTTTGCTTGACTATAAAACTAGAAAAAACATGTCTATCTTTTATTTTTAAAACGTGCGCCTTGCTTCAATAAGGCACTCCCCTTGCGACTTGGTTATAAAACCCCTATCGCCTTAGTGCGCCTTGCGCCCTTTTTAACACTGGTTATTATCAGGTTGACTGCTAATGGAATTATCAGGTTGTGGACAAACCTGCACCTATTAGAATATCCTCCTCATTGACTTCTCGATATCTTTCGCAAAGGCGGATCAGGTTGCCTGCAAGGAAATATCGTCCTGATAAGGACAATCCGAAGGTGAGGTTGCCCCCATGAAAGTAGCAACTCTGATATTATTTAAAACGTTATTTCATTGCTCACCATATGGGGTTAAAGTTCTAACAAGTGTTTGTTTTCTTTGTTCTGATATATGTAGGTTCCATTTTTCAGTGATGATGAAGAGACACCCAGCGTGCCTAAGGCTGATACTATGATTTTTCCTAGGGAAAACCCAAGGTCTCTAGTCATTCGTCCTACAGAAAATTGGCCTTCCAGAGCCTCTGCAGAGAAGGGATCGCCATTGAAGGATGCATCCTCTCCAGTGCATGAGAATGGTAAGATCCTTTCAAGCTCATCTACATTTTTTTTTTGTACCAGGTGGATTAGAAGAGAAGCTTATAAATAGGGGTGACAGTTTATTGCTTTGAATCATATTACTTACCTCATTGAGAAAATGCAGTGATTTTGTTTTAGGATTTTTGAATTTGTGTGTAATTCATTTCATGATCGGTTTAGTTAATTTTTGTCTGCTTGTGGTTGACTCTTTGGAGCTTCCTTTTCATTTAGGCGAAATTTCTGATGATGGCTCCAAAGCTGAGGATAAAGATGGTAAGTTGCATCTTTGACCTGAAATTGTAATCG